GAGAGAGGAGTAACGAAGGGGGGAGATGTTCAACCCGGACAGAAATTGTAATATTATAAATAGAAATCTGACACTGCGGAGGTTTCGAACTACGATATCGCGGATAGATAACAACACAAAGAGTTCAAGACAAGAGTTGCGATGTTCGTTTTTGAGATCAGGGCGAGATTCTCTTATGCGCAGTTTGCACCACTTGAAGCTTCGAGTTTACATGACCGAGAAGCGGCTCGATTCCCGCATATGGTGGTTCTTTCGTGCCGTGCAGCATCAACGAGAACTTCTTCAGCGTTCCACGATGCTTGCCTGGTCCCTGAACAAAAAAAAAATAAAAATAAAAAAATATGGGTAAACGAAAAGCAATCTTCAGATCAAAAAGCACCACACCTGGAATCTGACGATGAGTTTCCACTTTCCAATGGGGTTCTCACCCCAAGTGTGAGTGGTCATAAATGGCCAGTTGGTAAAGCCGTCTTTAGCATCATCATCTTTTGGACGTCGAGACAGAATCATAGTGCTAAAAGTAAAAATTGGAAAAGGGATATGGGCAATTTTGGTAAAATCTGACTCGCGTCTTTTGCCATAAGCTTACAAACTTGAAAAAAATTTCAAACAAGGACGAAAGCAGTTTCTCACATCATTAAATATTTCTTATGCAACCAACCGTGTTCCCATAGGTGACTCCAGGTACAGTGTAGTGTCACCTCTTCGGGTCGAGTTAAATGACACTACAGCTTGCACATGTTCCAAATATCTGACTTCTGTCGCGGTGCCCATGCACGCATCCGTATCGAGTTCAAGGACCAGGTTACCATCTTCGGGGATTTCACTGTAAAGAGGAATTGTAAGAAAGACTTCTGGAAACCACAAAACAAGCCCCTGAATAAAGTTGTAAATTATCGGTTCCGCATAACGAGTGATTGTCCTACGTCTAAGGCAGGTGCCAGACTTAGGTTCACTTGGTTCATTCCATTCGCTAATGGTTAATTCATTAATCTGACCAATAGCAAATGAAACCGAATGAACCCGACGACCGGTTGAGCGGGTAACTCTGGCACCTACTTGAACTGCAAAGTTTATTTTTCGTTACAAAGCATGGCAGTTGGTAGCTGGCAAAAACCAACATGTTGGATAATTATTCCGCAAAGAAAAGGCCTGCAAAGCTTAGCGCAAACAAAAGATAACTGCATTAAACGTTGGGACACACTTCAAGCACTTGCGTCACCCATTCAATGTCTATTTACCTAGTTTTTCTTTCTTATGAAGTATGTAGGACCATAATACAATTATGACATCATCTAATGATGTTGGAAAATGCTTTCTTAAAGTACGACGTTTTCGAGGACAAGAAGACAGAGAGTTCAAATACATAACATCTGCAGTCGCTCGCGTAAGCTCTCTGAGCTGTATGCGGCGGTCACATTTATTTTCAGTCCTTCTGTAGTCCTGAGGTTACGAAAAAAGCAAGAGTAAAATAAACAACACTTTGAGAAAAAAGGGAATACAAAATTTTTGAGAAAAAAGGGAATACAAAATTTATTTGTAGCTTTTGATTCAACCGGATAGGCGGCTGGGAGGTGATGTTTCGTGACCTAGTTGAGGCTAGAGAGGATCAGAGAGCATGGGCGCGGGAGAGACACAGATGCGGCGCGGGGCGAGCGCTTCCATTGAATCAAAGAATAAAGCGTAGACAAAAACAAATGTAAAGAAATAAGAATAGGAGAAAGATCTTACTGAGGTGTATCGATGGTACCACCGGTGCAATGATAACGGGGTGGTGCTGTTTTCCAGACCATCGCGAGCATTACCTGCAAAATGAGAGGTTACTGTTGAGTTAGTAGGAAGCTCATCTGAAGAAAAAACTTATAAAATCAATAATCCAAGAAACTTACCATTTCAGCGGCATCCAAAACGCCAAAGCCGAAGAGGTGATTGTACTCGAGACCGACTCCATTCATCTGCCATTCGAAGTGCGTGCAATTACCTTTCGACTTCTTTTGGTTAGCGTCCTGCAACTACTTATGATAGGACGGAATGATCGAAAGCTCACAGCTCCGCTACAAACCCCTAATCCCAGATCTGGCAGATCGCGGCAACGTCCATCGAACAACGAGTTTCGTGTCGACGTAAGTACCGTAAGATGTTGAAGATCGCGCCTAAAAAATTTTGATAATTTCAAAAAAGTAACGGATTTTGAAGTTTCTGAAAAATGTAACCTACCATGTCAGCTTGGGATTAGCTTCAAGAGCCAAGGCAAACACTCCGGCGGCTTCTGGAGCGGCAGCTGAGGTTCCAGAATGAGAGCGTGTGCATCTATAGATGATTAGTGAGCATACAACAGACTGTAATAGCAGATCATTACCTTCCATACAAATCGGTGGTAGCAACGCCAGTTTCGGGATTCCTACCACCATTTGAGAAAGTCGATGCCAAGGTGGATGAGCATGATCTAGAAATTTAGCTTAGAGGAGTTTTCACGGTGCAACGATCGTTGACTTACTCGTCGTAATGAGCGTTTTCACCGTTGTTAATGGCACTATTAATGGAGATGGTCCACATTGATGCTGCATATCCATCGCAATTGCAGTCATCGTCCTCTCCACCATCTCCAGACGCCCAAACAAAGATCGAACCAAGACCATTTCGACCCTCAAATGATATTCTCAATTGGATTTGATAACAAAAAAAAACTTCATAGAGTAATGTAAGGATTCGTATGCATCAAAAGGTCCATGAAGTTTTCGAGAGACTTTATATGTAAAGGTGGTAGGATTTGCCAAAGTTTGAAAAATTTGATCTTTTCATCTCCACTGAGATCCTTTACATTTATGCATATTAGACAGAGAAATTATTGCACTTTCGAAGAGTACCCAAAGCAAAATATAACATTCCCATATGGCAATGATTAAGCTGAGAATAAAAGCACTCAAGTGTTTTTTGAAATTTGCAAGCTAATACTAAAATGTCTACTAAATTTTCATTCTAATTTTCCTTTTGATTTTATGACATGCTCTTTCTAACTGACATAAATTCATGCCAGTCGAATTTCCAAACGGTCATGATTTTCGCATTTTCAACCAACTTATTACTTTCAAGTCTAAAGAATCTAATATTGAAAACGAGCCACAGCTTTTGATATATCTAATCTAGATGGATTAATCTAATTTTCAAAGACAGCAAAATCCAGAGTG